CAAATGTGACACCAAGATCCCTTTGATGAGTGCTTATTTGAAAAGGTGTGTTATTTATGCAGTAATCATGAGAAATAACATTATGTTCAAGGGTGTATTTTCAGTATTTACATTTGTTTGTATCGAGGGGAAGATTATTTTCGGTACACCAAATGTACAAAAAGTCAAGGTCTTTTTGTAAGATTAAGCAGTCCTCCTGTGATGTAATGGGCCGAAAGATTTTCAAATCATCTGCAAAGAGTAAGAAATTGCTAGAGAGATTATTTCCTATGTCGTTAATGAAAAGTGAGAATAAAAGAGGTGCTAAATTGCTTCCTTGGTGTCCTTGAGGGACACCACTGTTTGCAATAAATTGGAACGACTTGTGACCCCTATAATCTACGAATAGGATACGTTGAGTTAAGTATGAGCGGAAAAGGTTTAAGAGTTGGGAGTCGAATCAATATTGGTGAAGTTTATTGATAGGAATGTTATGATCCAACTTGTCAAACGCCTTCGAGAAATCTGTAGGTTATTATTAAGTACATTACTTACTGATTGTGTGAAGCACATTAAGTTAGTTATAGTTGATCTTTTGCTGAAGAAACCGTGTTGATTGTTTGACATGAAATTCTTAACATCAGGAAAGATTCTGTTGTACAAGAACATCTCAAAAATCTTTGCAAAGTTTGATAAAAAGGTTATGTAGGTCGGTAGTTTTGGATATTGTTTATGGCACCAGCTTTGAAAATTGGGCAAATTTTTGATATTTTCCATTTGTTAGGAAAGCATCCTGTACTCAGTGCTAGATTGAATATTGGGTGTAATGGAATAGCTAGGAGGTGTGCACAATCTTTAACGAAAAATCTAGGTTTTAAAGACTATCCATTTTCTTAATTCAACCTATTTAAATCAAAACATTATAATTTGTAGTGGTGTTTAGTCTTCCGATGTAAATCAATTCAATATTATTATTATTGACACTGATGATATCAAATTGATCGTAGATTTGATAATGAAGATGGATACAGTCTTCAAAACGTCACCAGATAAGTATACAAACAGAATAGGTTTCCGTGGTTGGAACATCTGAATTTCGGGTTGAACCGCGCCCAAAGTTTTGCATTGTTCGACGTTTCGGCTTCGACTTTGAAGCCATTTTCAAGAAGTAGAAAAGTGTTTCTGTACTGAGAGACACACTTTAGGGTTTTGTGACTTAACGCCAGGGCCTCGATCTCTTTACTACCAGATCATGATTCTCTTGGAACGCGTGGCGATCAATTGTTAGATAGATTAACTTCTTGAGTAATTTGTATGATAACCACGTTTTCAATTTGAGGTTGGATGAGAACACCTTTACGGGCAGAAGGACGTAGAAGACCAGTAAGGAATGAGTACCATAATTATTTCAATGAATCGCAAGACCACCCATGTTGATTATTTATGATCGGGTATTCTTCAAATAGTTGCGCAATTATTACTATCCAAGAATGGGTGGTTAGGTACTCAAATTCGAGTAAGGTAATCACTTAAATGAATTGTTCACTCGAACAGACACGTTCCTGTACTCAAGCCAGATCCATAGAATAGGTACTGGACATAACAATGAGGACCCAATTGTTGGAATTTGTTACGTAAATCGTTTGCTACGGAGAAAAACTGACAAGAGCAGTCCTGATTTCTAGAACAGAGTTCTACAAAATATACATCTGTTATGTTTTTATAGCACATGAAGATTTATTTCTGTTGAAGGCAGGCATATTTGCAGATTTTTGGACAATTTTGTTGAAACAAGTAGTCACAATTACTTTGAAACAAGACTTAGGGACTAAATAAACCAACAAGACCATCGGAAAAATACGCTAAGTTGGTTATGAGACAGTTTCTTCTTGGGTAAAAAGTCAAAATGCCCCATAACTCACACCATTCATGAGTCAATACTCACACACTAGTCACACACGGGACTTTTCATAACTTTACAGTTGTGTCAATCGAAATACAAAACTCAATCACTGAACTGACATTTTGTTTTAAAGTATACGAGGCCTGCTGCAAAAATTTTCCTTAAAAAACATTCATTAATTTATGAATCGAAGAGGTTTTTGTGTATAATTTTTAAAATTCTTGCAAAGCGCTTTCGACTTTCGTCATCATCAGTGCTCACCTGAAAGTAAGCGATCTAATTGAAAAGGAAGTTTAGTGAAAATTGAAGTTGCAAAAACATTTTTAAGGTTAAATAATTGGAAAATTGTTTGAGATTACTTACTACTGCTACTTACTACTTACTACTTACATTATGGATTCAAAATAATTATGTTATGGAGAAGTCGATATAGAATAAATTATATTAGTAATAAATTTGATTAATTATTCATAATCCCTTTATGAAGGGGAAGGAAATCTCTGATAAAGTTTACTTGAGTATTCAAACAATGGTCATTATTGGAAAGTTCTTTGGAAATCTCTAGCTCTNGGCCTTCGAAACGTTAAGATAAGTATCGTATTATTTCTTAACATTTTTTTTGATAAGTAAAATTGTTAAATACGACAAGTTATAAATAGAAGATTTTGCTTTGTGAAAAATACTTTGATTTTTACGCAGTAACTTATCGGGGTAAACTAAAAAGTTTGCCCTTCTACAATTGTATAAAGTTCTCCATTATTATTTTTATAACAAATACCCAAAAAAGGTCGATAAAAATATATACATATATTGCATAGTGACTGTCCCTCATGTTTTTTGGATAATATCAATATCATTATCATCATTATTTGAATCTGAACTTGCGCTGGTCGGGCCTTATCTTCCGAAGCCCTGATACATTCAGGAGTGCGCGCCAGCATTATCAACCAACGACTACTCCCCACACCGTGGGGTAAGTGATCATTGGGACCGAGAATAATGTGTCATGAGCAGGCACAATGAGCTGAAAATAGCAGTTTTATTATTACCATTATTATTATCGCATGAGTATTTGAATCCGGAATCGTTCTACAGTCTTTTTCTATCCAATGTTGTGCTGTATATCTACTTAACAATTTCTTTGAACCTTTAAACAATTCCCAATTTCTTATACCCACTTATTCTTCACAATGAAAATTTCACACTGTACTGCATTGCTTCAAAACCATTTCTGTGAAATGTCTTTTCCAAAATTTTCCACAACTTTTTGCATTCAGCCAATAAAGTTATTTTTATCCCGCCATGCTGATTAGAATTTAAGAAAAAAGTAGGAACTGTGAATGATTTTGTCATGAATATGTCAAATACTTCCAATATATGTATATACCATGAGGGAAATAGGAAGTATTTATTTTCAGTTATTTATATTGTACTCATTTGTCAGATTATATTTGAGAAAACATAAACACGGCGACGAATTTTTTTTGACGCACTTTTAATTTTCCCAATCATGCTATCTAAATTTGTAACATTCATTAGTCACGAGAAAAATTGCGTCTAAATTTTTGGCAGCGATTGGAACAGACTGCTGATAAAAATATTTATTTATCCTAGACTTAACAAGTGTGTTTCACCAAAATAACCTTAATAGGAGTATGTCTTCTAGAGCAGGCGTTGATATCGACACTGTTAATAAATATTGCACCAGCAAAATATTTTTTTCGTATGAACAAACTTCCTCACTTTCACTTGTCATATTTACGGTTTTGGACGAATTTCCATCATTTCCTGCGAAAAAATTAGATGACCGTAACATTTTTTATACTTGTCAAGAACTCATTCAGAGTTTTCCTCTAAAGAACAATTTTTCAATATTTTTCAGACCAGACCCATATGCAAGCCGTTGTTTTTAGCTGATCCCGCTATTGCTATATCCAAACCGGTAATACCTACGAGGTCGGTCGAAAGAATTCAGTGTGGTCGATTCGAAAAAGACGCTACGTCTCTCTCTCTCTCTCTCTATAGCTCTTTCTCCCCAGGAAAAGAGTTATGCTGCGGGCATGAAAATCGCGACGGCCAAGCGATAGCGGGGCGACGCGACGTTGGAACGGCGGCGATGCATACAACAACATCTACAGTATAGGTTACGAGCATGAAACGAGCAGTTTCACTAGTGTGATTAGGATGCTCGTGATTATAGTGTTGTAAAAAATATTATAGTACCAATACCAATAGAAATTGAAGAATTTTTCTCATCTATTTTGTCAAAACCTGCTCTTTGGGACATAAAAAGTGCCATCGCTCTCTATTGCCATGGCTGAAAGCCTTACAATCAAGAATCTTCCCTCTATCTATCGCCACCACTGTCAAGGGAACCCCAACTTCTCAGACTCACCCCCCTCTACGTGCCGCCGACGCGTGACGTCGACCATACGAGAGGGCAAATCATCGGGAGCAGAAAGCTTTTTTATTTTATTTTCCAAAAATTACAATAAATAACCTCTAATCCTGATTCCAATACATTATGAAATCAATATAAAGCAAACATAAACTTTAACGATTAACTCTATCATAATTAAGAGCTGAATGACTCTTTCATTCCAATGTGTAATACTCAGACTCTTGCGAAATTACAAATACATGTGTTTACAATCAGATGCCACATTGGCTACAATTTTTTTATTCTCTATATTTTTTCCTCGTTCTCATCCTCCCATTTACTTTGATTACCATACAAAACTGCCTTTCAAAAATCATATATCCTACTACTATATCCTACTACTCTGAAGATCCTATACTATAGTTTAATTCGTTCTGACCTTGATTATTTTTCTGC